GCCAATACCACGCTCAACCGCCAGGTTTTCCCCCATAATTAATTATTTAATTAAGAGTACCCACTTTATAGAGGCTGGGTTTGCCTCAGGAGAGTCTTCCGGTTCCGGGGTCGACCCACGGCTGATGAAAAATTACTAGCCATCAGCCGGATTCGAACGTGGGACCTTGAGCTCGAGAAGTCAGTGCTCACCCACTGAGCTACCCCGCTCCCCCTTAAATAGAAATACTACCAAGATTTGACTGACAAAAATATTTTGTTTTAAGCAATAATTGACATACATTTATAAAAATAAGAGAAAAAGAATTATACTATAGATGGTAAATAGTTTAATATTAAAGTTAATGACATGATTGTATATGGCCAAAAAGTCCGAAACGTTACATATACAGATGTGTGATATAACTAAATAAAGGTTTTTTATTATTTTTGTATTTTTTTTTTTTTTTTTTTGGATGAGAAAAAGGGGCCTATATTGTTGATCATTAATAAAATAAGCTTTTTCTCATTTAAACTAAGCCTTTTAATAATTGTAACTTCAATTTGTCATGAAATTTGAGCACGTCATTGATTGAATATTAAATTTTTCAAAATTTGAATTAATACTTTCGTGAAATTCTTCTCGCCTCATTTGATTCTGGTCTCACTTCACTTGATTCAATAATAATATTACTTGACTAAAATTAATCATAAAACGATCCACAAGATCATCTTTGAGAGTAGAGAACGAACTATGAGGAAAAGCATCATAGATTATTTTATGATCCACCGGGACCTAAGAAGGCTCTTCACCGACATAAAGCTTTGGAAGTAATTAGGGGGAGCTTTGGAAGTAGGGCAGAACTAAGCACAGACCACAAACTACTTATAGAGGATACAAAAATAATCAAACCAAGAAAGAGATTCAGCAAATCATATGATAGGATTGATGTTAGCAAGCTGAAAATGGAAAATAAACAAGAAGAATATCTACTCAATACAGGAAGTGAAGTATGTGGACAACAAAAAATAAGGCCCCATACCAAGAAAACAAGATGGTGGAACGATGATGTCAATAGAAGTTTCAAGCTCAAGGAGGAGTCCTGGAAAACTTATAATAGAACTAGATTACCTATTTATTGGGATGAGACTAAAAGAATAGTCAAATTAGCTAAGACGAGGACTTGGGAGAAGTTTGAAATTAAACTAGAGAGAGAATATTAGGAAGTTCTGGCATATTACGAAAGCCTTGAAGGGTAAGAGATCAAAACCGGTCAGGAACGTTGAAGACATGCATGGGAAGTTGGAGACCGAAGAAAAGGCAGTTTGGGGACCACATACTTCACTTGCTCTATTGAGTATACAGTTCTCCATTTCATTCCAGAGGTTATCCAGCGTACTATCACCGTTTACTTCTTGGAAGTGACTTTTGAGTAATGGCCAATATTCTTCTTGTTTATTTTCTATTTTCAGCTTGCTAATAATGACCAATATTCTTCTTGTTTATTTTCTATTTTCGGCTTGCTAATATCAATCCTACCATATAATTTGCTGAATTTCTTTCTCTCACCATCTTGGAGATGAGAAGACTAGCCATGGACAGGGGCCAGTGGGCTAGATGGACTGAGACTGCAACTCCACGCTTGATGGCACACAGGAGTTAGAGGAAGAAGAAGAAGAATATTAAAATTAAAACTGTTTGAATCGATCCTTAATTCGAGTTATGAACTCATACTGATATTTTATTTAAATTTTCTTCAGACTAGGTAAAAAAAAAAAAATTATTACTAGTTATTGATTATAAAAAATAATTTATAACAGTACTGCTATTTTTAAATCTGAAATTAAATTTCCTACCTTGCCTTTTAGGCTACATGGGGATTTTCCCAGGCCAGGGGGTAAGGGATTAATACCAGAGTTAAAAGAGCCACTTGGCACTGTAATTTTATTGTCTTCAACTTCGGTAATCAGGTTGCCGGGCAACGCACGGTGTTGTACACACACGTTATTCCACTCGGCAACCCCGCTCCGGTCAATACAAAACTTAAAACAAAAGTTCAAAGTTATGGTAGACGGTCCGGGAACTTAGTAACAAAAAATAATTTATCTTTATTTAAATTTAGAGCAACTCCTCAAGCAAGTGTTAGATCTCTAGCTGGACTCCACATTAACAGAAAATTTAGAACTCAGTTGCATATAATTAGGCTAGCCAAAATGGATGCATCTTCAAATTCAAATATCATAGTTTGATCATTTCAATCTGGTGATAGACTTCAAGCAAAGAATCAATCACTCAGGCTCATATCTATAGAATTTCAGAATTGTGATCAAACACCTAGGAAAACTACAATACCTCATAGAATTGGATTATGAATTTCTAATCAAAAGAACTATTCATTAATTGAGCTAAACAGATGTATAAACAACTTTAAAACCTGTAATTCCATTTCATGGACATAATTTTCATCAACACAAAATCACTCATCTCAGAGCCTAGCATCAACATCGACATTGGAACAACTATATCCTGAAATACCCCCCAAGAAGTAGTATACTAAGAAATTATTCAACTTGGAATGATGATAACCGCAACATAACTGAAGAACTAAAAACTACTTCAGGAGATAACATTAGGACAATTATCAAACAAGCATATACTTTTTTTTTATAACTGGAATCATATATCACAGTCTCATCAAGCCTCTAGTGTTCCACAATCTGTAAGCTGTTTTCATTAAAATATAACTTCAGCAACAATAGTGAACTTTGAGACTTGGACTGACAAGCAGACAATTCTCAGAATCCATATCAAACAATTTAAACTTGTCAGAGAATACAGCAGCAGGTAATATGAAATACAATTTTATCCTAACTGCAGCAAGACCTAAACAAAAACTAGGTACAGTAGATCTACCTACTCTACCAACTTAAGTTGAATTTATGACAATTTAATTTACAGTAACCTGTATAGAAAACTGACAATTTTATTTTGCTTAGAGATACACAGTTCATATTAAGCAGATTACTTATTGGACAGGGGTCATCAAGGAACAGCCAGGTGTAAAACTGTTCCCTTTCAGGAACCATTAAACAAATGTCACTCAACCTTGTACAGTGAAGCAAGATCTCTTGATATTGACAACAGTATAACCTCAATTTATTTAGATTGCAGAATAGGACTTCAGTAAACTTTCTACAACAGGTCCTTTTCACAAAAAATTGGGACGTTAATTAGTTTTGATTATCAATTGCTTAATTATTGTTTGAATGAACAGGCGGATCTCTTAAAGTATTCTTGTTCCTGTAATTACCTTTAATAGGACTTCAGGAACCACTTAAACATCATTTCATATAGGTAGTTAATTTCTTTTTTTTTCAAAATTAATTATCCTTATATGTATATGAAAAAAAAATCTTTCGGGCTGAAGCCCCCCAAAATTAAATCCTGGATCCGCTAGTGGTTTGAATAGTACTTGTTAATCAGCGATTGATATTGCTGTTTTTGACTTCTGCTTAGTACTTAAAAGGGAAAGAGAAACTCCCAACAGACCCTTTTCGGTGGAGCCTTACCGTCTACTTCTGAACATTTTGAGATTCCATATATGGTGTGATCATGAGATCTTGTGCCACTAATGAAGATGAAGTTCTCCTTTTAGTAGTTGTGACATTTCCAGAGAAGTGGTCACAGAGGGAGATGAAATTGAGGTACTAGTCCACATGAGTTCCGCACGGATTATGCTTGGTTCACAATTACTTTGGTCAAACTTGTTTATGTGTGCACAGCACCACCATTGCCCGGCAACCTGATCTATGAAACAATGGATTTAAAATAGTCATGAGTTCAAGTCCCGGTGCCGGGGGAGTCTTTTAAGTCCCCGCCCTCACTCCCTGGCCCGGGAAAACCCCATATAGCCTTAAAGGCCAGGAAGGGGAGGACCCAAAAAAAAAGTGATTCTTTAAGTCCTATTAAATGTAGTTACACGATCAATAATACTTTTAGCGATCATTTTTTTTCATAAGACATGGTTATATTTTACCATTTTTGGGGAGGGAGGGAGCTTCAGCCCAAAATCCCTCCCCGTATACACACCTGTGGTGCTGAAGGTGACATTTGTAGTCTGCAACTGCAATAAATAGTCTGCTACTAAGAAAAATATAGGGAAATAAAATATGAAATTTTACTAATAAATTATAAAGAAATATCAGTTTTTCTGCTGTCGAAAAAAAAAAAATTCAATTTTTACATAAAATCTTTTGCATTAACAGTAGTGAAATATTATGCAGCTATGGAAAAGAAATAGTAATATATAAAAACCTTTAATTGTTATGTCACTGAATGCTACTATTAATATTACTATTTCATAATATGAATTTTTCTTGTTGATGATCTCCATTATTCATGAGAAATGTGTGATTATGAGGACAGCTGACATCATACCATTCGACTGTTTTCAGCATTTTATGAACAAGTGTGATCGAAGTGATTATGAACCACAGGTAATCTGAGCTTTTGGAACTCAAGTGAACAAGTAACGAAATTCATATTCCAATTGAATTTTTATAATGTGAAAACAAATCTAGGAGAATCCTATTTAATTAAGAAGTGAGAACTATAATAGATACAAATATGAAACAAAATCACTTTTAAGTACTACCCCCAAAAAAGTTTCAATGTTCACTTATCTTTGCAATAACAATGACAGACAAGTGTTCATTAAATATTTATTACTTAAAACACTATTTATCAAATGTTTCTGGTATATTATGAGTGATAATTAGATACTTCAAACTATTGACATTATTTGTTGATTATGTTATTACAACAAATCATTACCTTTATCGAACACTAATAGGACTGTTTTGAACTCTTAAATAATGAGAAATGTGCTTAATAATTAAAATTCATAAACTAATGAATCTAAGAAATAAACAATTCATGAATCTTAATCCATTTTTTGAAAAATCATTTTCATAAAAAGAGAAACTATGAAGTAACAACTATACATTTGATAAAAACATTACCTAATTGTAATACACCTGAAAAAGAATCCAAGCTGGACCTTTCTTCACTCTCAACACTTTCGTTGTCTTCCCCAGAATCCATGAAAGTCAAAATTTAAAAATATTACGTTCTAAAAATTTGGGATCGCAAGCTGAGAAAACAATAAGGAGTGAAATAAAGGCAAAAACTACAGTGAAACAATTACCAAAAATATCACGGGTTGTGAAACAACTTTTTCCAAAAACGAAAGAATACGATTCTACCCCAATAACTTAAAATTACCCTTTGACGTTGACATAAACAGAGTCGAGTTCTAAGTGTGACGTAGGTGTTTATCCCTTGTGTTGTTTGATGACTGCCCCAACACATGCCTGGTCAATGTAACCTACTTTAAAAGTCTGGTTATATAATATGTACGTTTTGTTGTTGTGTGTTTTCAGAGTTAATTTGTGAGGTTGAGATAATTGTTTTATCGAAATGTAGGGTCCAAAGCGTTATAAACATTTGAAAGAGGAACATTAATGATTTTTTTTTTAATTGTTGATTTATGAGTGTTTATTATATTTTATAAAAGATGGAGAACCATTGTTTATCATTATTAACATCTCATTTCCTATGAATTATCTTCTAAGATTTTTATATAATGTCATCTACATCGAAGTATCCTTCAAAAAAATCAAAAGTTGATGAAGGCTTGCAGGAGTCTATTACATTTGTCAAAACATATATACTTACTCTTTCTGATGATGTTCTGTTGATAATTTGTTCTTATTTAGATCCATTAGCTTTGTTGTCTCTTTCACAGTAAGCTTGCAATCATACATTATTATTATTAACATTTGCCTCCTGAGTATTTATATTTTTTATTTTGAATTGTTTCAGAACTTGTAGTCGACTGCATAGAGTTTGTGCTGACAAGACTCTCTGGAAACAGGTTGATGCTAGACAACATGCATTGACCATAAATTCTCTGAAGAAATTCACTTATTATATTCAATCAAATACTACCTTCTTAGCCATTAAAGGTCCAGTGGATACATGTCATAGTAATTCAAATGATTCAATTTCTAAATGGTTTTTAAATGTTATTACAAAACATGCACCACAACTGAGTTGTCTCATCTTGGAAAACCATGTCATTGATAGTGTCAAAGTAAGAATATTGTTTCATCATAATTAATTTGTTTGAGTTTGAGATAGAAATTAACATTTATTTATTTATATGGTTAGGAAACATTGTATATATTGACGGTACTAGTTCAAAAGAGTTCCTCACAAATTAGGCATGGTTCACAATCACTTTGATCACACATATTGATGAGACGCCGAAAACAGTCGAGTGTTGCTGAATGTTACAACGTCAACTCTTGTCCCATTTTCCTTTGACTCGTTTTTGAAAAACTTGTGTATTCCCAGCATAGAACTTCCTTATTAACGAATTATTTATTTACAAATTTGTTGATTATTAATTTTTTTATGATGGTAATTACTCTGAAAAAAAATATATAAAATGATGTTTGAATGGTCCCTCAAGTCTTGTTAATAAAAAATGCTTTCAGGAATAAAATTTTTATAGACACGTGCTTAAATGAAGTAGACATATGTTGTAATTTATAAAGAGTACATATTATGATTATTTAAGTATTTATCTCAGATCCCTCACATAAACAAATATGGGAGAATGATAAAAAAAATTATTTGTCTATGCACATAAATCTATCCCTTCTGTACTAGAGTGTACGTGCATAATTCATCTTTAGATAATAGATTATATTTGAATTTTAAAATAGTTATATTATTGTTTTATTTCAGGTTTTTAAATAAAAGTTCTAATAATTGAATTGTAAATTTCTATTAGCAAGACTTTCTTAGAATTGCGCAATCATCTAGTTTTTGTAAAATTTTGGATTTCTTCAATATAATTACAATATTCAATATTCACTATTATGTTGTCAGAGGTGCTTTTTATGAAAATACTGTAACATTTGAAATTGCACTAATCGCATCAAGTAAATGTAACTTCTTGGATTTATTCAATGTGAGGATCCACTATTTTGTTAGGGATGCTTTTTTATGAAAATACCGTCTGATTAAAGATGGCCCAAGATAAGTGGTTCCTTATATCAATAAAGTGAAAAACTAGATGTGAAATGTTGCAATTTGGAATGCGACAGTATTTTCATTAAAAGTGTTCTTGACAACATAACAGTGGACTCTTATATCTAAGAAATCCAAAACGTTACAAATATTCGATGCATAATCTCAAATCTGATAGTTCTTTCATAAAAAGCAACCCTGACAACATAATAGTGCATCCTTATATCGAAAAAATCCAAAAACATCACAGAAACTTGATATACAATCTTAAATCCGACAGTAATTTCATATAAAGTGCCCTCGACAACATAAGAGTGATCCTTATATCAGAGAAATCCGAAAAGTTAAATAAACGCGGTGCGCGATCTCAAATCAGACATTATTTTCATAAAAAGCACCCCTGACAACGTAAGAGTGGACTCTTATGTGTAATAAATCCAAAAAGTTAAATAAATTTCTTGCACAAACTTAAATCTGACAGTATTTTCATAAAAACCACCCCCGACTACATAACAGTGGATCATTATGTTGGAGAAATCTGAAAAGCTAAAAAAGTTGTTAGAATAAAATTTGTATCTTAAGTAACAAATAAGTACAGGGGATTCCTAAAAAATTAGTAAATCTAGTCAGTATGTGCTTGACGGAAACACTCAATAACGTTAGAATCGGTAATAATCTGTCTGAAAAATTTGAGGTTCGTTCAAGTTTAAAACAGGGGGATTCCCTTTCGCCTGTCCTGTTCAATTTGGCATTAGAACATGCCATTAGGGAGGTAATGCGTACCGAGAAAGGGTTGGATCTGGGCGGGACAACATCCGTGCTGGCTATGCTGATGATCTGGTACTGTTAAGCGAAGACGTTGAAACTATAAAACTAAATATGACAATTTAATGAAAGCCGGTAAAGAACTAGGACTCGAAATAAACGTGGATAAAACAAAATATATGGTTAGCTGCAAAAATGGCGATACTACTGGTGATATTGATATGGATGGCAATATGTTTGAACAGGTAGATAAATTTAGGTATCTAGGTTCCATAATAACTAGAAAAAATGAAATTGAAGAAGAGATTAAGGTTAGACTGAAGGCGGGAAATGCTTGTTATTTTTCTGTGACAAAACTACTTAGTTCGCGCTTCTTGCCCCGGAACTTAAAAATTAGAATCTATAAAACAATTATCTTGCCTACAGTTCTTTATGGATGCGAAACTTGGCCGCTTACCTTAAGGGATGAGCAACGTCTTAAGGTTTTTGAAAATAAAGTATTGCGTAGAATATTCGGACCGAAGAAGGATGAGTTAACCGGAGAGTTCAGACGGTTACACAACGCCGAATTGCGTGAACTGTATCCGGGTAATATAATTGAGGTAATTTCATCGCGGCAAATCAAATGGGCTTGTAAAGTTGTTGGACTTAGTAACGAGAGAATTCCTAAAAGGTTAATATTTGCTGTGCCGAATGGTAAGCGTCCGAGGGGTAGACCGAAGCGGAGGTGGGAAGATTGCATTAAAGCTGATCTGAAGGGACCGGGTTTGGACGGGGAACGGTGGAGGGAGGTGTGCGATATTGGTGGTGTCGCCATCGAACCTTCGGGTTCGCTAAGCCTTTTTATTATTATTATTATTATTATTATTATTATTAAGTAACAAATAATAGATAATAAATGAATCAGACTATCTGTAAATAAGAAATAACGAATAAATCATCTGTTAAAAGCCTTCGAATAACAAATAGAAATTGATTTATTATTCTTTATTTACATAAATATTTATTCAAATAACACTCAACTCCAACGGGGTTGTTTTTGTTTATTACTATTACTTTTCCACAGCTCTAAAATATAGGTATAAGTTTGATTAATTTAAATGTCGAATATAAGTCTGCTCAAACTGTATTAACTGTAAATGGTTCAGAATATACAAGTACTTTGATGGTGGAAAAAGTATTAATAACTAACTCAAGAGATCGGTCGTCTTCGTACTCTTTCGGATAAACCCGGATGCGTTCGGCATTTCATGAACAAGTATCACTGAAGTGATTTTGAACCATTGCTGAACTCTGGTGAACTAGTATCTATTTTTACATTTAATTGGACATTTACATCACTTAAATTAACCACTTTATCAGTACCTTATTTCCTAGTTTCTTTTAAAATTTAATTCCACTCCATTTTTTGGGGGAATCTGTTCAATTTAATGCTATATCACATCTTTTAGCTTTAATCATAAAGCTAGTTAAATAAAAATTTAAGAAAAATCCATATATTATTGTACAGACATAAATGTTATTAGCATTACTTTTCAAAATAATCCCCTCCTACTTCTATGTTCTTAGTCCATCTTCTAACGAACATTTGAATTCCTTCCTGGAAAAAAAATTTCAATGTTCAAGTGAATATTTAAAAAGTTTTGCAGATGTTGGTGTTCAGAAAATTTTGCAGTGCTTTAGTGGCCTCTTCATGAAAGTTCAACACCTTTTTTGGATTTGATCTTTTACTTCTATAAACGCAGCCCACTGTAGCTATCACTATTTATTGTTTAGCCTTTAGGTTTGAAATCAACCAAAATTGGACCTTCCATATCCCAGAATATCATTATCATAATATTTCCTGCAGCCATCTGAGTTTTGATCTTTTTTCTTGTGGGAGATGAATGATGTTTTCACACCAAACTTTGTCACTTATTCTTTGGTTCATGGTGATGGACCTATGTCTCATCAATGGTTATTATTTGCTCAAGAAATTAGTCTCCTTCTTCAAGCGATTACTTTTGTGGATGCTGGATGATTGACATAACCCAGCAAGCACAGACTTTTTTAAAGTTTAAAGAATCATTTAGGATTGAATATGCTGACAAATGGCTTACCTTCAACTCCCTTGCAATGTCATCCACTGTAATTCATTGATTAACCAGAATCATTTATTTAACTGTTCCAATATTATCATTTGCCAGGTCACTGTTCTTCACGTCCTTAATCCTACCACTTTTAAAGCTATTAATCCATTTGTAAATCTTGCTTCCACTCAAACAACTCCCTCCATATTTTTGCTCCATTCGATGAATATTCTCTACTGGTTTCACACTTCTAAATTGAGAAAATGTATCACTGCTCCCAATTCTTCCTTGGTACTATCAGACAAAGGAGAACTCACTTTGAACAACCTTTTAAACACAATAAGAAGTAGCTAACAATCAAACATTACTTTCAATGAACAGGTGATAGATGTTATGAGGTGTTGCAGAACAATCAGTACTACCATACACATGATTGGGAAGCCAAATCTCCTTTTAAATTTTAACTTGAAATCATATATATTATAATTTGTTCACTGGCCAATATATTATACACTGACAGGCAAAAAATTCCACCCACTTGCAAAAAAAGTTGTATTTGTATATAATACATGGTATTTGTAGATAATACTTAGTATTCATGGAATTTTATAATCTTTTTTACCTTTAATAATCAAAATGTGATTGGGTAAGAAAGATTAGAGAAAAAAAAATTGAAAAATGAACCATTATTATTCTAAAAGAAATTAATTACATCATAGTTCAGTAGCCGTGTTTCCTCCTCTTGCCTTCACTACTTCTTGAAGACGCCTCGGCATACTTTCCACCAGTCGGGTAATGTCCCTTTGCTGGAGGACAGCCCATTCCTCCCGAAGAGCCCTTTCGAGGTCCTGCAGTGTATCAGGAAGTGTTGCACGCGCTCTTATTCGTCTTCCTAGGTTATCCTATAAATGCTCAATGGAGTTCAATACTGGAGAACTTGCTGGCCAGGCTAAAACCTCAATATTGTTCTGTTGAAGGAACGTCTGCACTATGCGGGCGACATGTGGGCGTGCATTAGAATAGAATGATCGCCGATTTCGTTAAGGATAGGCAACACATGAGGTTACAAAATCTCATCTACATAGCGAATGGCCGTCAAAGATCCTCCACGTACAACAACCAATTCTGTGCGGCGCTCCATTGAAATCCCAGCCCACACCATTAAGGAACCACATTGGAAGGGTTGGCTCTGGGAAAAATTACAGGCTGCATATCTTTTGTTTCTTCTTCTCCACACCCTTTCACGCCCGTATGGAGATCGAAGAGCGAATCTTGACTCATCTGTAAAAAGTACAGCACTCCATTCGTCTATGGCTGTGTTCTCGAGTAAAAGCCAGCCGTGTTACTCTGTGAGTTCTGGTCAACTCTGGTCCTCTTACTGGACAAAAAGCCATTAATCCATACTCATTTAATCTTCTCCGAGCGATACGTTCAGAAATTTGCACACCTCGAACTTCTTCTTCTTCTTCTGCTCGAGCTGATGAATCGCTTGAACAACGGTAAGATGCCGGTTTCGTAAAATTCTCACAAAGTAAAAAACCGGTCATCCCGTGGTTCTGTTACCCTAGGCCGTCCAGAACCGGGCCTTCTATTGTAAGAACCAGTTTCCCGAAAACGCCTGACGGTGTCTCGTAAAGTTTCATATGGAACTCCGATGGCATTAGCTGCATATCTAATGGAACGTCCATCATCAATAAGTGCCACACCACACGCAACATCCTCAGCACTAAGAGGCATTTTTAAACTTAATATTGAAAAAATTAAAAGCCAGAGACTAAGAAATGTGCTGCAAGAAATGGCACTGAACTAATGATACTGAATAAACTTTTGATTTCATAGAAAGTAAACATTGGAATCTAGAATCATTTCATTGAATTAAGGATTAAGGGTTATTGTCCCCTTTATTAACATTCCTAATTGAAAACAAACAAAAAGATTACCTATTTATTCATTAAAAACAATATACCAATCCAAAGCAGAAATATTTTTAGATGAAAACATGAAAAAATCAAGTATTCTAAATTACTTATGAGAAACTACAGTAATATTAGAATCCTCCGTAGATCGCTTTATTTTATAATAGAGAAAATCAGAGCTTTGTATGTCAAGTATCAACTTTTACCTCCTCTCAGTTTATGAAAATAAAATAAAAACGATAGTAATATATTACTAAAAGCTTAATTTTCTAAAAAAAAATCCTAATCAAGCTTAAAAAATGGTTTTCCTAAAACATTATATTTGTTATTTGAAAGCTTTTCTTTTTTTTTTTTTTACTTGAATCACTTTGTACTCAATTCTTTTTCATGTGTAATAAATAAATGTAGTTATAAATTATATATTTTTAATAATTGTATCCTCAGACATATTGGTCAGGAAAAACTATCATTAAATAGAGAAAAGTCAGAGAATTTTACTTTAGCTGTTTGCTAGCCACCAAAGTGTGGTTTAGTTCCCTTATTATTGTTATTTTCATTTTCATGTTATTTTTATCTGTTTAATATGGTGAAAATAATTATTTACTTATGTTTCACTTAGGTTACTTTAGAGGATTTTCCACCTTCCATAGAACATTTGGAAATTCGAAATTGTATTATGAAGAATTTGTCTCTAAGGAGATCTTATTTCTATAGAATGGAAAAAACTCTGCCCAAGTTAAAGGTAATTTTTTATTTATTATATTGTCGAGTGATGTAATGACCTTTTTTTGAGGATTATTTATAGCTTTTCAGGATTTCGATGTGAAATAAATTTCATTTCTGAATTATGCCTCTCCATGTCCCATTACAGTTTACAGGTTTGATCTAGGTTCTTTGCTAGTTCGAGTAATCCAAGTTGGTGTAGAGAAAATCCAAGTTGCCTGGTCATTATGCTGCTACCAGTCACTGGTCCTTTAGGCTGGGAGAACACATTTATATTAACACTCCACAGAAAATTCCATAATAACCCCACACTGCTTAGGTCATATACCACAGGATTACCTCTACCAGGCAGCCACCAAGTAGAAAGTACAGGTCTGTAGACATGAACGTTACAGCCCCTCCAATGGTGTAGGGTAGGATTGATAACCATATTATGCTAACATAAACTATCTAAAAATCCCTCAAAGCAGCCTCAGATCAACCATTTCAATGGAAAAACAAAGAAAAATTCTAATGTTTTTTAATTTCTTAATGTTATTGATGTTTGACATAGCTTTGAGATTACACCTTGATCAAAGAGAGGGTTTGGTCAATGAAAATGCCTAAGTTTTTAACTGAAGAGCTGAAGGTGATTATTTAGATACAGAATAGGAATGTAGGTATTGAATTTGACGAGGGATTTAGAACCAATGACGATGGCCTGAGTTTTATTAGTATTTAATCTTAATCCATTTATGCATGCCCAGGCGCTGATGTGATTAAGATCTTCGATTTTGGCAAACGCATCATACAACTCAGAGGGAAGGAAAGATTAATTTGGGAATCCTCATCATAGAGGTGATGGGAACACTGGAGGATTGATTAATGGAGGTCATTGATGTAGGAACAAAAAAGAAGAGTAGATATGCTAGAGCCCTGGGCCACTCCCGAGGATAGAGTAAGGTAGGAAGACATGGGTTGATTAGGAAAAGCGACAGCTTGTGAACGGTGAGAGGAGGAAAGATTGAAACCAAAGAATAGTGCTGTTGGAAAAGGATAATGATTTTAATTTGGGAAAGACGATAAAATGGTTAATGGTATTGAAGGCTTTGGAAAAGTCAAAATGTACAAGGACAGTTAGTTTTTTATCATCTATAGCGGACTGAATATCACTAATGATTTTAATTATGGCGGATTATGTGGAGTAATCTAGCCAAAAACCAGATTGGAAAGGGTCGAGTTGATTGGTGGGGTTCAAGGAAATTGGAAACTTGGGATTGCACTATTCTTTCCAGTGGTTTTGAAAGGTTGGAAAGGATGGAAATTTTTGGGAGAAGAAGGGTTAGAATTTTTATTTAAAAGACGAACGGTGGCTTTCTTCCATGAGGTAGGAAATACTGAGTTCTGGAGGGAGAAATTATATACAAATAGGAGAACAACTATTACTACTATTCTCTTTTATAAATAAAGTGTTTTGCTCTTTTATGTTACATGTCAAACAACTATAATAACGAACATTATGACAATCAAAACAAATAGAGAACAACATTTGGAAGGTTAATAATGGTTCACTTCAATGCTGCCAACTGACCCTGAACAGCGATCAAGTGATCTTTAGTTCATTATAATCATACAACTGATCTGGGGTACCCAGAAGGCGGTTACATGGTGTAAGTTGCGCTATCGGAAATTTTGAGGAGTCATATTTTGACAGGTTTTTGAATTTTTGAGGGGGGCAAATTTCGATGGGGTTATGAATTTTCGGACTGAGAGACAAGGGGAAATCAAGTGTAATTGTATATGAAGTATGCTTCTTCTAATTCTACCTTTGCTTGCTCTGTTATTAAGAGAAGGTGAACAATAAGGAGGAGAGCGAATAGATTCTTGCGCCATCGATCTTGGAGGGGGTGGGCACCTCTGCAACTGATGGTATGAACTTAGTTCAAATTTAATCCAAGGTCAGTTGAATCTCATTTTGAACTCCAATCATACAACTGACCCTTTGTGGTTGTTGTTATGAGTATGATTTATTGTTTTAAAAATATTACTGTTTGGTTCATTAATTTCCCCTTTCTGTTGGTTCATTATCTTTCACAACTATCTTTAACTCTGAACTTCTCTATCCTGTCACATTCTGATTTCATTTAATGAATTAATTAATGTACAATAAAATTTGTCATACTGAAGAAGTCTCCATTGTAATATTGGGAATTATTTCTATTCCAGCTATATGGGACTTAACCAATGCTAAATAAACAAATCAGCGTACTGAATATTATACAGTATATTGAGAAAGTATAATAAATCTTAAGATACCGTATTATTAATTATTTTAATCAAATCCAGTTGCTTACTAGCATTCAGGTCTAGAATATTTGTATATTTTTAACCAACAGCATATAATTCTACCCTTAAGGGCTAGTAGCTGCGCTCTACTAGTGGGGATTAACAACCCCTCGGAGCGCACTTACACACAACACAACTGTACATAATACATTTACACTGACAATAAGGACAATAACAGTACACACCTCAGGGTCACCTTTCCTGAGAAGACTCAATGTCGGGAGTATAGCAGGCAACCCGTTGTCTCTGGGTAAGGGACCTCCATCTCTGGGCTAATCACCCGTATGGAGTATAAAACGATTCATAGGAATAAATGCAGCCTCGGATTTGGACAGTCTTACGGGTATAGACAAGGCAAGGACAAGGAACTACGATTGGCTACTTGGAATGTAAGATCACTCACAGGAAAGGAAAAAGAGCTGATTGAAGAAATGAAGTCATTTACAGTCGACTTAATAGGATTATGTGAAGTTAGGAAATGGACACCTAACATTGCCAGATGGATACAATCTGATATACTGCGGTGTCAGTGAGAGAGAAAGAGCAAAGGAAGGAGTTGCTTTTGTGATGGGAGACGAATTATACAACAGAATCGAGTCATGGGAAGCAGTCTCACCAAGAATAATCACAATAGACATAGAATTATCAGTTGGCAAAGTCACAGTGATACAGGCGTATGCTCCAGTTGAGGATGCAGCAGTCTTTAACAAGGACCAGTTCTATGAAGATTTGCAGAGGATAGTAGATAATGCAAGAACCAAAAACAGAATGATACTGATCTGCGGAGATTTGAATGCTAGAACAGGAAATGATAAAGGAAATGCGCATGGAGCTATCACCCTTGGAGGTGGAAACGTACAAAATAGTAATGGCCAACGACTCATAGAATTCTGTATAGAAAATAATTTACTTATAGGAAACTCGTGGTTTAATCATAAAACGATACATAAGATCACTTTCGAGAACAGAGGAGCTCAGGGTATGAGAAGAAGTGTCATTGACTATTTCATCATGGAACGAGACCTCAGGAGGTACATCACAGTTGTTTGAGTCATAAGGGGCGCAGAACTTAATACAGACCACAAGCTACTAGTCGCTGATACTAAAGCTATCAAGCCAAGGAAGAGGACTAGCCAAGTATTTAATAGAATCGATGTTAAAAATTGAAACCAAACAAGAAGAGTACAGAACAATGCTGGAGAGCTGCCTTCAGTTAATAAATGGAGATAGTGAATTGGATACTTTTTGGAAAGAAATTAAGAATTGCATCATCGATACAGCTAGTGAAGTATGTGATATTAAGAAAATGAGGCCGTCTACCAAGAAAACAAAATGGTGGAACGATGAGGTGAAAAGAGCAGTAAAGCTCAAAAAGGATGCTTGGAAAACATACTGTAGGACGAAACTACCTATCCACCGGGAAGAATATGTTAAATACAGAAATGAGGCCAAAAGAATAATTAAATCAGCCAAGATGAGGACCTGGGAACAGTTCGGTCAGGAGCTAGAACAAAATTATAAAGAGAATATAAGGAGATTATGGCATATTGCAAAAGCTCTGAAAGCCAAAAAGACAAAACCGGCCAGAAATATAAAATATGCAAATGGCAAGTTGGTGACTGAAGAGAAAGAGGTACTAGAAGTTTGGAGACCGTTCTTCCAGGGAAAATTTAGTATGGAAGAACGCCGACGCCATAATCACAGAGACTGCAGAAGGAGAGTGATGGTGGAAGAGGTTTACCCGGAAGACTTGGATAACGCAATAGGCGAGGATGAGGTGGAAATGGCAGTAACCAGAATCAAAATGGGAAAAGCACCTGGACCAGATGAAATAGCTCCAGAATTAATTAAATATGGAGGCAACGAAATGATCAAGATCCTTCAAACTCTTTTCCAAAAGATTTGGGACCTCAAGCTGATACCACGAGAATGGGAGAACAATATCATAATCCCTATTCACAAGAAAGGCAGCCAAAGCGAATGCGGGAACTATAGGCCAATATGCCTCTCGTCAGATGTGTACAAGATTTACACAAGAATTCTTGAACAGAGACTAAGGCATATAGTAGAGCAAGATCTAGAGGAGGAGCAAGCCGCTTTCAGACCTGGCAGACAAACCCAAGACCACATATTCTCACTAAGAATGATCGTGGGAAAAGCATGGGACCGTCGAAAATCAGTTTATCTAGCATTTCTGGATCTTAGGGCCGCATTCGACCCAGTTTTGAGACAAGAGATATGGGACTCACTAATTAGAAGATAAGTACCTGCAAACTTGGTGAGTGCTATTAAATCAATATACCAAGATCCAAAGGGTGTAATAAGGCTCAATGGACACACATCAGAACCTTTTCACTTTTATAAAACAGTAAAGCAAGGGGATAGTCTTAGTCCTCTGCTTTTTATCCTTCTCATGTATGAAATTTGGAAAGTGAGTAAAAGAAGAACCCCAAGGGCTGTTGTGGGATATTGGAATTTGACACCAGTGTTGGCTCAAGCTATGATGTATGCCGACGATATAATTCTCATAGTAGACTCACAAGAGGCTCTACAGACATCATTGGTCAAGTGGGAAGAAGAACTGAAGCTGCGAGGGCTGCATATAAATCCGTCTAAGAGCAAGGTTATGTGCATGGGAAAAGATAATGCGGAGCCTATGATGTTAAGTAATGGCGAACCTCTAGAGGTAACAAATACATACACGTATCTGGAGACAATCATCAATGACGATGGTAAAATAGACCAGGAGGTACTAAATCAGGTGATGAAGGCCAATGGGATATATTACCAGATAACCAATACAATCATAGGAAAACGGGAAGTAAGCAGAAAGGCCAAACTCACGATATATAAGGCGGTGTTCCTCCCAGTACTTCTTTATGGATCTGAAAACTGGACAACCCTCGATAAACTCGTAGGCAGGATCACAGCAGCGGAAATGAGATTCCTCCGAAGAATTGCTGGCAAAACTAAGAGGGACTGTGTTAGAAATGACAGAATCCGTGAGGAATGGGAGGTGACATCAATCCGTGGCATCCTGGAAGAGAAACTTTTGAAATAGTTCGGGCACATCTGCAGAATGGACGACACCCGAAAGGTCAAATGGTTTATGGAAGCTAGACCGGAAGGCAGACGACCTCGTGGCTGGCCGAAACATACTTACCATGATTATATTGGAAAGCTGGGCACAGCAAGAGGACACACCATACCGGAGATGAGAAGACTAGCCAGGTACAGAGACCAGTGGGCAAGATGTGCTGGGACTGCAGCTCCACGCTTAACGGCACAAAGGAGCTAGAGAAAGAAGAAGAAGAATCATATAATTCTCATCTATGTTGTATTGTTATAAAAGCAATCAAGACTAATTTTTTCTAACATTGGTATAGTATTAGTTGAGGAAGAGATAATTTAAAAAAAAAACAAGTTTTTTAATTTGGAATAGACTTATAGTATGTAACTTATTATAGGAAAAAATACTCAGCTTTAGTTTTTGAAATATTCTCCAATGATGTTTATTTACTTTTTTGTTATGATTAGCCTATGATCTAATTTATTTTTACTGACTCCTCCACATGCTTTTTTAATTACAAAACAAAGAATCATAATTATATTAATTGCATTCATTTGTATTTTATCACAACTGTATATTGTATCTGAATTAATTATTTATGATATTAATTATAAAATCTTTGTCTTTGCAGGTGCATGTAATGGTTAAAAGTTTCAGTGTTAGAAATTTAATCTGAAATATTTTATTGATTACTTTTTTAATTTATTCATTTGTTTTCATAATTTCAGAAACTTGACTTGTCCTGCAACAGATGGTTTGTACCTCACTCATTGCTTGCCCTGAGCAAAAGTGAAACTTTGGAAACACTCATCTTAGCTGGATGTGATGTTAGTGACTGTCTTCCATATGCTAGTCTTGCAGCTAATTTTGGTTTCAGTGCGCTGCAAGTTAGTACTTAAAGTGATTTTAATATTTTTTATTTTAGAATCAGTTTCCTTCTTCAACCTCAATAATATAACTGTTCCAATTACATGACCATTAATTTTCTATTTATGTGATCATACATCAATTTCAATTTTATTATTTTAGTTTATTCATTACATATGGATATGTAGGTAGGTCTATTACAGAGTTAGAATTGATGTTGGTTTTTAACGTTACAAACGGTCGTAATTATATAGGCAACAATATCTAAATTTAAACACAGTCATTTAAAAAGATTATTAAAAGGTTTTTATAATTTTGGAAGAATTTTAAGAGAATAAAAAAAATATATAAAACAACCGGAATTATTGGAAACTTAAAATATTGAAGCTTGGATTACTGATTCATACTTAATTACTTGTACTAGTGTTCACCCAGTGGTCGAAATTCGACCATAGCTATTAAAAATTTGAAGAAAACATAATTAAATTAAAAATAAATTCAATAAATAAAGAGTAAATCACGATTCAAAAATCGTCATTTATTAATATCTACAAAATTTCAATTTCAATTAAAAATCTAGCTTAAACTACCTAAAATTATTTACAAGTAATATAAAACAGACTCATTCAAAATATTTAATTTCCATTTTAATTTATGTGTGTTATTATCACAATAAATTAATGTTATGATTAAGCAAGTAAAAAATAAATTTAAATTAGCAATTTCAACTGAATTTAAATCCATTTTTATGCAGAACTTCTCTGAAAACAATGTTCTTTTTTAATGTTCTGTTGTTGTTTAATAAATAGCCTTGACCATTACTATTGGAAATATAAATTTTAATTTTAACGTGCTCTACTTGCTGCTACGTATAATTGTCCTTGCAAAATTACTGGGCGTCACATTAATTCATAAACTTTTCTAAAAGTTTGATCCTGTGATTTGGTTATGGTCATAGCAAATGCAGCTTTTAATAAGAACGTTGTTCTTAAAAATTGGAATAGAAGTATTATACCAGAAAATATTAAATTAATTCTTGGAATTAAAATTCCTTTATTTAAAATAGCTCCTATCAGCACTTCACTCTCATTTGTGTTCCATTAACTACTGCCTGTGCAGTATTTAAGTTAAGAATGAGTATAACTATAGAATTTATTTTTAAATTTAATTTATGAGGTAACATTCCATGATATCATCTCTTCAAATAATAGTCCCGATCACTTCATTAAATTTAAAATTCTCGATTTATCAAAAACCAAAATAGAGGAAATCAACTTTGCAAAAGAAAAAGTACTAAATGTTTGAAATGATATATCTCTGCAACAAATAGTCCGATTTCGATGATTTTTTTTTTTTATTTTGTATGGAATTCAGGAAGCTTTCAAATAAATATTGGTATTATCTAATTATAACTAACTAATTGGTATTAGGAACTTCTGGTTTATGCGATTTTGTGTATGTTATAGGGTCCTAAATGCATGAAATTTTTTTTTATATAACTTGAGCCGTATGGAAGTTATGACAACTTTTGTGATTTTTAGAATAAAAAAAATGTTTATTTTTCGATTCTAGTGAAAATTGGTAATTGGGGGTTTATTGAGGTGCGAAATACAAATCTCAACTTTGTTCCTCCTTAAAAAAATATTTGAACCCACTTTACTCCAACGGCCGCTACAGTATCTTTCATTTCGGAGATAATTCTTATTAATTTCGATGATGATTTTTTTTTTTTTTTTTTTTGTAGAGAATCCAGGAAGCTTTCAAATAAATATTGGTATTATCAATAAAAAAATATGTACTTTTTGGGTTATTCGCAAATAAAATACTGAATTCATCATAAAAATGTATGCAGCTTGTTTTCGGGATAGTATGTTATGTACATAAATTATAAAGATTTTAAGGGGAAGACTTTATCCAAGTTTCATTGAAATCGTTGAAGCCTTATTTGCGCTACAGTCTAAAGCGAATCACATTTTTCGGCTGCCATTTCAAAAGGAAGGCCTGATGATAATGAAACGTATACAAAAACACTTCTAAGTATTGGTGCGACGTTGTGTCAAAATTTAAAAGAAATCGGTGAAGAACTTTCGGAGATTAGCCGTTTTGAACAAACGGCTTATATTTTTATTCACATACTATTTCATATTTTTATTTATTGATAACGCTCGTTTTTTTTTTTTTTTTTTTATCAAACGCTCGTCAATAGCTATTAAACAAAAAAATAAGGAAGAAAATTGGTTGAATAATAGAGGAGTAAAAGTGGCTGAACCGTTTTGTGTTTGCCTGTTTATATAATGATATTATTTTTGTTATATTTTTCTATCTAAAGATAGATTTCTTCATTCGCTATTTATTGTTCTCATCTTTTATTTAGCCCTGAGTTGATAAATAATAAATGATTCACTTATTGTTTTATATTATATTTGCTTCAATGTTACCTATGATTAGAATACTGAAATTAGAATGATGGTCATCTTCATCTAAATCATATAGTCTGTGGTACACAGATTTTTATCAAATCATTAAAATCTGATTGAAACTTCGTAAAAAGCTTCATCTCATTGTAACCTACAAATATTATATTTAGGAAAATTCTCAGAATTGGGGCGTTTTCAATCTGGAGGTCGACAAACTTTGTCTATTTAATTAGGTACTAAAAGCTCGTAAATACCTATTTGGTTTCCACTTGAATCGTAAGATAACTTGAGCACAGAGTCAAGAAAAAATGTGGCCTTCAATATGACAAAAATGTCGGCCTATATAACTTTTTTATTTTGAAATTTGGGGGTGCAGGTCACGCCAAATGGCTCAATATTTTTGAAGGTCACCTTTTTTCTTTACTTTGTGCTCATGTTATCTTACGATTCAAGTGGAAAGCTAATGGGTATTTACGAGTTTTTAGACAAAGGTTGCCGATTTCCAGATTGAAAACTCACCAATTCCGAGAATTTTTGTAAATAAAATATTTGTAGGTTACAATGAGAAGAAACTATTTACAAAGTTTCAGCTGGATGTTAATAATTCGATAAAAAGGGGTCTGTACCACGGAACAATTATTAGAGTCTATTATTTCCTTTTTAATAATTTATTGTTTAATTATATTTCAGCTTCTTGATTTGAGAAAAACTTGTGTCAGTGATATTGAATTAACTTGCTTCAATCGAACTGCTACTTTACGTCATCTTTATCTTTGTGCCTCAGAACCAGAGTTAGCTGAAGCACAAGTTACTGATTTTAGCATTACCACTTTTGGTGGAGGTTCAAGGGATGGTCAAGGGCCCTTGAACATGGAGGAAGGCATCATTATTATTCAAGTAATGTACCTTATAATTAATTGTGCCATAAGCATATTCGTGCTTAAAGTAAACTATAACTTTTTAAGGCTTTAGTTTTTGGTATGTTTGGATTGCTCAAATATAGCTCGAATCATAATTATATAAATTTTCTCGTTACTGACTGAAAGGACTTCTGCTTCTGATGAAAGTATTTTGAATTCTTGAAGCGGAACATTTCTGAACATCCTGAGTGATTTTCCTCTGACTTCCTCTATAGAAAAAGGTACAAAAAGGTTCACCATTGTTTTCTTCTTTTTTTTTTTTTTGATCATACTGAGGATCTAAAAAAAAAATTTTTTTAATATAGTAAATATAAAGCATTTATTTCTGTCATGGTTTTCGGCATTCACAGTATAGATAAGTTTTATCTTTATGGTTCTTTAAGGGACCCAAATGTTCTTTCATTTGAAATATTTAAACAACTTACAAACCACTTCAATTCTTTCTTTTTAATTTTTTCTTCAATTATGTATGGTAAGTTGGACAGCAAAAATAATAATGTTTCAGTCATACGTCCTATTAGATTTACTGACTTCTTTGGTATTTCCTATTCAATTAAAATATTGTACAGCATTTGGCACTCAACAGAATCATTAACTTTTTTTAAATCAAATTAAAACTGATAAACTATACAATTGTATTCTGTTTTTCACTAATATTGGCTGTAAGAGAATTATTTGACCAACTGAATGGTTTTAATCTCGCATTGAGGTGATTTCCGATATATTATTTTTGTTTTTTTATGTATATTCGATGATTCGTTGACTAGTTAAAATAATAAATACATTAAACAATAAAAAAATATTATAGATTAAATTGTACTAGTTCACATGAGTTATTATGACTCGGATTATGCGTGGTTCACAATCACTACGGTCACACTCGTTCATGGAATCCTGAAAACAGCTGAATGTTACCGTCTTTTATGACGTCAGCTGTTGCCCTCTCTACACAATCCCTTTTCATGCATTTTTGAAAAACCTGCGTATTCCCATAATATAACTTCCTTATTAACAATTTATTAACAAATTGAGTATTTACTAATTTGTTAATTATTAATCATCATTATAAAAACAATTGGAAATTGTTACAACAACAATTGGAAACTCTGGAAGAAAAGTAAAAAATATATATAAAATGATGTTTGAGTCATAGAAATAAAATATTTTTGACACATGCTTACTGTGGTTGCTGCCAATATGTATATACTATTGTATATTATCTTTAAAAACTGTATAAAAGATTTTTTTTATGATTTGGATAATAAATAATCTGAGGTTATCTTTTATCTTTTTATTCATTATTAGAGTTTTTCAATAAGTGTTGGAATAATTGAATTCATAATTTATTTTAGCAAGCCTTTTTTAGAACTGGATTGTTAGAACAATCCTCTATCTAGTTTATGTATCAATATAAATTATATTGATTTCTTCGATATAATGATCCTCTATTTTTTAGCCAGGGGCTTTTTATGGAAATACTGCCTGATTTGAAATTGAACATCAACTTAATGTAACTTTTTTCAATTCTTAGACATAAGGTTCCACTATTTTCTAATCTTCAGAGCCTTTTATGAATATACTGTTGGATTTGAAAATTTGCATTGATTTCTTGTAGCTTTTTGGATTTCTTAGATATAAGAGTCCATTATTAAGTTGTCAAGAATACTTTTTATGAAAATAATGTCAGATTAAAGATTATCCGAGAAAAGTGGACCCTTATATCGATGAAAGAAAAAAAGTGGAAACTCGATACAGAATTACGCAATCTTAAATCTGACAGTATTTTCATAAAATACAACAACATAATAGTGAACCATCATATTGAAGAAATCCAAAAATTTTTATGGTAATTAACGAATAATAGATAATAGATGAAATAGCGTTCAGAGACTTAATAATTATTGATTTTTATCTATGTACTATTTCTTTTCCACAGTTGTATAATATATGTACAAGTTCGATTAAGGTTACATGATGAAGAGAAGAATAGTTGGGGTGCTCAGTCAAAAAAGGAAGTCAAAAAATAAATTATAATATTTATTTTTTAAAAAAAATAATAAAAAATTTAAAAAAAATTAAAAAATAAAAAAAGTAAAAAATAAATATTATAATTTATTTTTTGCCTTCCTTTTTTGACTGAGCACCCCAACTATTCTTCTCTTCATTATCCACGACAGTCAACCAATTACCAATTATGAAGGTTACATGATGTTGCCTAAGTTTCGAATATAAGTCGGCTCCTGCTGTATAACTGAACATGGGTAAAGATATAGAAGTACTTAAATGATGGGAAAGTTTAATAGTAACTGACTCAAGAGATCGGTCGCCTTCGTTCTCTTTCGGATAAATCCAAACGCATTTAGCACTCCATGAACAAGTGTGACCGTTGTGATTGTGAACCATGGGTAATCCGTGCGGAACTCATTTGAACTAGTACACTATTAAATAAGTTAAACTTGTTCTGTCTCTCTTGATCTGTTAATAGATGGTTTTCAAATGGTACTTTGCAATTGATGTTTACATATTTTTGTTAATGAGGCTCTGCATATATTGATCTTTTCAGAAAGTAGTTTGTTTTGATCTTTTTTACTGTAGTTGTTAGGTTGTTCTGAAGTATCCTTTGGGTAATATTTGTCCTCCATCTGTATTAATTGAATAATTGATTAATTTAATAGAATTGTTTTATTAATGTAAAGACTCCTGTATATGTTAATGCAGTAGTAACATTTTTTTTTTTTTTGTATAAATTAGTTTTTATAATGACAGATTTTAACGATTTTTTATTTTTTTTACTTTTGGTACTTAAGATCCTAATTTGATTCATTGGTTACCTTTGTATGTTTAGGTTGGTTCTTATCCACGCCCTGTATGTAAACTTGAAACTCTAGTCGTAAAAAATTATCCTGGGATTACTGATGTTACGCTGAGACATGCTGCTTCATCTATGAAACACCTTAAGTATTTAGACGTTACAGGAACAGGTTGCTCTGAAGCTGGTATCCTAGATTTTAAAAAGAATAGACCTGATGTTCAGATTGTTCCTGATATAATAGCTGGTGAACATATCAATAATAGTTAAAAAATTATGTAATATAAAATTTGTTTTTTAATTTTGTTTATGGAATCTCCAATTAATTTATTACTTTATTTAATATATTTTATCTAAGTATAGGATCCATTATGTTTCTATAATGTAAGGTATTATGATTTTGGTGATATAATTAGTAATGAAGTTTGTAAAAAAAAAATTGAATTCATGTAGTTACTACCAAGTACCATGTATCATTTTGTATATTATAGATAAATATTAGCTTAAGTTGTAAAAAAAATATTCTTATTAAATTAAATTAATCCTTGGAGATAACAAAGGGTAGAAAACCCAGCAATAAAAAATAATCCTTTGATACATTGCACTATTTATTTATTTTTATTAAATATAATTAAAATTATTTTCAATAATTTTAATTATTGCCTTTTCTTACCCATCAAAGCATTTTTTTTCTTCATTTTTTTATTGCTTTTTATTAAAATATGTTAATCAAAGTAAAAATAATGTTCTTTATCTTGTAATGCAAACAGGACAGGAAGTGTAGTTTACATGACACCAAGATTTTAGATTGGAACATTTGAAATGTCAGTTCTACAGATATGAGACTCATTTGAAATCAAACTATAACAATATCATTTTTGTACTACATAACTTTTGTTGGTTTCGATACATTTCACTTAATGCTGAAAAATATTGTTTATTCCTTGTTCAATGTAAGATTTGGCCAGTGAATCAATAGATTTGAAAAATGAAGACTATTTTCCTAATTTTCATTTTGGAATATTGAACCCAATAAGGTCTCTGAAAAATTGGTAGTTAGGTGAATAAGATAAATGTTGTAGAGCTTCTTTGCTCACATCATTTATTTTTTTGTTTTTTTAATTTAACTGACAAAAATGTTATATTTTACATGAGCTGAAAATTAAAGTTCCAATTCATCCACCGTATTCACCTGAATTGTCTTATACCATTTTTTAATAGTATTTGAGGGATTTAAAAAATAAAATAAGATATTCCAAAATAAAAAACAATGTAAAAATTTTATTTTTCGAGTTATAAATTCAAAGCCAGAAGGTTTTTTCTAACAAAAGTCTATACATTTAAAGCCAATAAGTTTCTTCCAAAAAATGTATTGAAGCAAGGAAAAGCATTTTGAATAAAAATAACATTATTAAAGTTTGTTTTGTTTTATTTTACTTTTCCCTAGGAAAAGGCATTTCCAAGTCAAATATTTCAGCTAGTCTGTGTAAATCAGTATTTATTGTGTTGGTCAACAAAACAAAAGTAAAAAGATATGAACCATTGCTAATTCTGCCTTATATATTAGATTATTGTAGTATATTTAATGTGGTTTTTATAAATATGATACAAACAGAATGAATATCATTATGCCTAAGCCATCCAGCATTTGCCGATTCAGTATTTAATTTTAGTGGAGCCTTTTTCTTTCTTTTTTTTTAATATTTAACTATAATTGCTCTGGATGAAAAAGAAAGAAATATATAAAATGATGTTTAAGGAGTTCTTCAAGGCCTGTTAAAAAAAGAAACAAGTATGGATCAGTGACTTTGAGTGGCTTCAGCCCAAAAGTGATAAAAGCCTGCTTCTAATTTGTGGAAAGTGCTTTATCATCCAATTATATAAACCATTGAAACAGTTTCTACTGGTTGTGGAGTGGATGACTTTAAGCTCTTGGTCTCCTGAAGATCTAAAATTAAAATTTAATTTAAACAGTTCTGTTGCAACAGATACATAAACAGTTTTCTGAAACAGATACAGAAACAGTTTTCTGAAACAGATACAGTGTAAATTCAGCTTCTGAAATAGTTACAGTCCTCTGAAACAGATACAGGTTCCTGAAGCAGCCCTACTACTGCAATCTATAAACAGCTATGTAGTTTTCATTCAATATACAGTTTTACCAAATCATTTTCCTATCATATTTTATTTCCTTTAAAATATATTATAATTCGGAATTAAAATTTTAATGCTTGTTTGACTTTTTTCAGCAGTTGTAAATACAATATTTTTTTGTCCCACAGTTGATATATTATGAAGGTATAATTAAAATTTAACAATTAAATCGATAATTACTTTGGAGATAAAAAATATTTTAATTTTTTTTTTAAATAGTGAAATGGTTTTTTACTCCTAAAGTTTTGAAACACTTGTATTTTTTTACCTGTTTACCTATTTTTTAAAAACTTTTATGAAAAATGCAGAAACCGTTGCAGCTACTACTCATGATAAACACTTTTACCCATCACTACCCTAGCACCAACTGTGTGTGTCAGAAATGGGATGGAGAAGGGGATAATCAGAAAAAAATCAAAATTAATAATTGCCTTTTTTTTTTGGAAGATTATTTCAGTGTTAGCCACTGGTTATAAAAAATAAACACGTTAAGATGCCATGTTAAGATAAATATAAATTTAAAAAATGCTCAAACACAACCATAAGAATTTAACAAGAAATAAATATAAATAAAGTGCTCTAGTGGCTAACAATTTACATGAGTTAAGCTTTCCTGTAACTACACCACTGCGATTTAAATCACTTGACTGCTCTACGAATAGTGGATTCAAAAAAACAAAATCTTATAGGATCATGTTTGATTAATTTTCCTGGACAACAGAGCCTTCCAATTTTTATCAAAATAACATTTATATTATTATACATTCTTCCTATTTAAACATAATTGCTTCGAACATATCTTTCTTGCTGATAAAATGGTCTTCACCATAATAAACCTTCATCGTCCCCTTAATATCATCTTTATGGTGTGAATGTGCTCTCAGAACTCTATTAAAAATGTCCTTTATTGAGACAGATTGTAATATTTATCAATAAAAAAAATATCATCCAAACTACTCCAGCATTTGAGCTCCTTTTAGCTGCATCTTGAAATATTCTGTTCATCTGTCTCCTATATATTCGTTTAGCCATACAATGGATACTGATCCTTGTTTTCTCTTTCGAGATTTTGGCACTTCCTTACTCGTTCGCTTAATGTATTTTTCCAATTTTTGGATTCAATTTCCTGTTCTCTCTCATTTTGTTACCAAATACTAATAATCAGTTCCGGTTTTCTAGAAGAACTTATAGCTTCGCCCTTTCCATCTTTCTTTGTGCAGAGTGAATAATGCATTCAATATTAAAATTTCCTATTTTCTTATGATATGGTCTGACTTCCGAACAAAATAAAGAAAATAAAAATGAATTTTTTTATTAGTGATCTATGAGTTTTACTAAACAACCCATCAACTATTCATTATGTATAGTTCACATTAGGTATATATTATTTTAGTTTATAAAATAGATATTAATATGACTCATTTCCAGAGAAGTATATGCAATTTAAATTACCTCTAAGAATCCATAAATATACAAAACAAAGTGTTAAATTGCAAACATTAAATAAAAAATTCAAGATATTCAGCGAAGAATTATTAAATGAAGTTGTATTATTATAATTATATCTTTTTTACAATTGATTCCTTCTTAAACGACCTCATATAGAATAAAGGAAATTAAATTTTTAAAAATAAAATAAATTTAAAAAAAACTTGTTTAATTTTTTTTGGATAGTTAAATTATTGTATTAATATTTGTTCATTAATACAATCAATACAATGTACGAAAAATTTTATTATAGCACTATAACTAAGCCATTTATGAGAACTGAATGGTGTAGTTGACGCCAGTACCGCTTTTCTGCCGCTTAAGTGCATTTTTTACGGAACTGTTTGAAATATTTTAAAAGTAATCAGTGTTTTAGAAAGAGAATATATCCTCCAGATGTTTTATTTCAGCACATTTTGCGACATTGTTGGCCATTTAATTACAAACGACGCTTGATTTGCAACTTGAAAATTTTTTTGTTAACAAAATTGGCTTTATTAGTGTTTTTTATTGCCTAAACCAATTATGTTTTAATATTTTTTCATGTTTTATTATTCTCTGTCTATACTGCTTTAATAAAAGACCAATTATGACGAAATTAAGCCAAATACTGATTCTCAGTGACCAAAAAACTAACTAAAGTCAAAGTCGTCAGTCGGCAATGTTTGGGACAATTCGTTCACTTTTTTTGCGGAAACATTGGCGTTTTTCTAATAAATAGATACCAGGAACACAACGATATGTAATTTATAGGGATGTAGGAGGAGGAGGGGTCTGGCCCACCGTGTATTGGATATCATTTCAAACCGGTCTAGTAACAAGAAATTCTATACGAATTTGACTAAACATTGAACATTCAGCCAAAAAATGGAATAGGTCTTCCTTGACTGGTAGGTTACAGAGTGAACAATCCATATAATCCCTGTGAAGCCATGGGATATAATTCAAATAAAGGAGTCCATACTTGAGCTTAAACAACCAAATCAACTTGCGCCCAGTCAAATTCCTACAGTAGCCATCCACGAATTCCAAATTTTAAGAACATGACTCAATTCTCTATACGATAAAAATCGATCATAATTCAATCCCGCTAATTTGCATTACTCCCAATATTGCTCAGTGATTGCAGACTGTATTGTTGCCAACAGGTCTTTCCGTAACGAAAAGCATTCCGAAAACCTGTCGGACCTGCAAGAGTATCTCTCCGCCAAATTGCACCAATTTTTAAACCAAAAGGTATTACGTTTAATCACTTCGATAGCGATAACTCTGGAGAGATGAATTTCAGGCAGGCACAGTAACTTAAGACAATACTTAAAATGCAACTAAAGTGAATACCTCAGGTGGATTTGTGACTGTTTCTAAATAAATCATATTATTTGTTGTCGCTGAAGGAAACGAAAAGAAGGTTGGCAGAGAATATAATCCTCGATGCCCTGGGAATCATCCACCACCATGGGCATATTTTACATTTTTATATTATTTAATGAACACGTCCACTGTATTTTATCAATTAGGTTAGGAAGAGAAAGGATAAATATGAGGAGGAATAAGAGAAATGTATAAGAGGAGAGAAGGGAAAGAAAGGGAAATAGAATGTTATTGAACGAATGAAAGAAATTGGCAAAAAAATAAAAATATAAAATTAAAAAAAAATAATACATATATATGTGTATATATTGTGTACTATGCTCATATATATTGTTGATACTATATATTTGTATATAAAATTGTCCATAATGATTGATAAGCATGCTGTGTTTGTAGCAACCCAATATAATTGGGCAGCACCCTTTTATGAAAACAAAGTGATTCTCTCTTATTTATCATATTAAATTACAACGATATTCTAGCATGTACTTTTGCAATCACGAGGTAATGATCAAAGTCAAAATTCGCACCTCAAAAGACTCTTAAATCCATTAGACTCGTTGTGAACCTAATTCCTATACTGCTACCAAGTAGCGACATTGATTCTCTTATGGGGAAACACAGTGCTTCCAATCAGTAATCCTCTTGATGATGAGTCTCTGACCATTGGCATTAGTTTCTCGTTGTATGTTTTGCATTCTAATTACATGACACAATTCACGCTCTGTTCCCATTTGTGCATTACAGTCTCCTGTTACAATCTATATGTCAGCTCTAGGACAATTATCCATGCATCTTTCAAGATAAAAGGCCGTGAAGGCATGAACATTAATGATGCTAAAATTATAAAATTTGCCTTTTACTCTTGTGCAGCGTATTCGTATACTGATGGTTTTGAAATAAATTATCAGCTGGTAGATTTTTTTACTAAAGATGAATCCGGACAAGATCTGCAGGGTGTATCTATCACAGACTGACACATCTAGCGATTGCAGATGATATTGTGATTACCAGAAGAACATTCAGTATATTACCTGGAACATTCGAGGAGTGCGAAGTTGTCGCTAGAAGAACAGAACTGGTAATTAATACGAAAAAACTAAATATATGAGGACCAGTTATAAAGAAGAAGGGAACAGGCATCTTGAAGGGACAGGGTATCATTTCGAGGGAGTGCCGCAGTTTAAGTAATTGGGTACTGTTATTATAAGATTAGAGATGAAATTAAGGCAAGGTTAATCGATGCTACTGATCTCTAATGAAAATATTTCGAAACCGGGATATAACTAGATCACTCAAAATATCAGTCGTACTGTCCTTCAGCCAGTGGTCATGCCTGGAAGCAAGTCCTGGACGCTGACACGCAACGATGAAAGGCTGTTAAACATGTTGGAAAGAAAAATCCTCAGAAAGATCTTTGGTCCTACAAAATAAGAAGATCGCTGGCGGATGAAGACAAACGAGGAACTTAGAAATCTATTTAAAACACCAGATATTGTTGCCACGATTAAGAGTGCCAAGATAAGATGGCTGGAACACGTACACAAAGAATGAAAAGTGGTAAACTACCAAAAATGGTGATGGAGGGACATCCTGGTAGAAGAAGGCGCAGAAGAGGAATTAGAATTCGTTGATTGCAGGATGTGGAGGAAGGCCTTTGTTTGACACAGTTGGGGTGTCGGCAGATGGAGAAGGGCAGCCGAAGATTGGTCAGAGTGGAGAATGGTTTTTGGAAGAGCGGTGTGGTCGAGCGGGCTAACGCGTGTGCATAGCACTATGCTTTGCCCGGCAACCTGATAACCAAAGTTATAAACGATTGAAAAGTAACGAGTTCACGTTCCGGTGACGAGAGGGGTTTTAACTCTAGTATTGTCCCCCGCCCTCACCCCCTGGACCCGAAAACTCCCTATAGCCTAAAAGGCGAGGAAGAGGAGAATGAAAAAAAAAGGTCAGAGTGGAGGATGATCATTGAGGAGGGAAAGGTCCTGCAAAGACCAAAGCGCCGTTAGCTAGGATAGGATAGGATTCAAAAAATGAAATCAATAGAGAAGAGGAACAAACGACAAAACAAAGTTACAGAAAAATTATTATTGAAAATTACAATTTAATAATTTAAACTAATACCATAGAGGTATAACTTAAAGAGGTAGTAAAATTCCAAAGACGCTCCTGAGGGTGTAGTGTGCTCAGTAAGTACAGCTCTGGACATCACGCTCAATGGCAAATACTTGGATCTAGTAGAGAGAAGAAGTTCCAAAGGAGAAGACCCTCGTCCGCCATCAATCGCAGTTCACCTTATCCTCCAAATCGCCAGACATTTTATGACGAGATAATCCATCTCCATAAGATGAAAAGAGATTTTAACACAAGGTACCTTGGACGGGAGGGTAACGAAAAGATTTACGTATCTGAGGATACATCGGATACATCTATATTGTCTTGTTAGGCAGAATAAGGCTGTAGGAAAAGTCAAGTATGTCTGATTTGCTTGTGGACATGTTCTTTGCAGACGAAAAGATGGCCAGCCAGCAATCATCATTGATAAAGAGGGAGATCTAGAAGTAAACCAATGATATAAACTTAATCATTACGTCTCAAGAAATATTTTATTTCTTTTCGAAGACATGTTTCAAGTTTGAACTCTCATCACAAATATGCTTCTTTTTCTTTACTAGTTATCTCTATGATTTTCAAAAGCTATTTATTTTTCCTATAAATGGATAAATTAATAAATTAGTAAAAATTTCACACCATTTTGGAACAAGGAACAACAAAAAAAAACTTTAAAAGTTAAAGAGAGAACATGATAGGTCCTAGCGCCGAGCAGCCTAACTAAAGCGGTAGATTAAACAGTCAAAAAAGATCGGCATTTTTGTTACTAACTATCGACAAAATTAAATTACTATACAATCCACTTAAAAAGTCCAACCCAGACAGCATCAAAGCCGCTTACAAACGAGAATGAGCATAGCACGTTTTCGGTTTGTTTAGGGCCTTTTCAGAGAGAGAGAAACACTTTATTTTCATAAAATATATAATATAAAGGATTGCTGCCCAATTATATTGGGTTGCTATATACACAGCATACTCTTCTATCCTAGTCAATAATCTTCTATACAAGTCAATTTATGCAAATAAATTCATGCTAATATATTTTATGAATGGTTGTGCTCACAACTTTTGAATAGGAGAAAATCAATTTACTGGAAGCTGCAAAGAGGTTAAGGTTTATTCTCTTCTGACATAAATCTCATCTCTTTGGTATGAAATAGCTAGTATTCCTTAAGTAGGTTATATGTTTGTCAACAATAATAGAGACGAAGTTATATTTTATGGAGAGTTCTATCATGGAATCAAGATTAGAATTTGAATTCAACGAAATGTATGTATTGAAATTAGTTTGTCTGTATTTTAGAAAAACACTAACGTTATTATTTTAACTGTATTTTAATAATTATCATGTTTTAGACAAAGGCAAGAGAATGTTACTGGATGTGTTTTAGCAGATCCAAAGGGCCTCTGTTTATTAGGTATTTTATTTATTCTTTCTTTACGATATTGAATTTATTTAGCCAAATATAGTCATTATTATTTGATTATCTTAATAAACTAACCTTCATGTCGAAAATTAAGTTATTATTGTTTCTTATTTTTTTACAAAGTAATCACTAAAACTACAGATTAGTAATACTTAGTCTTTGACTTGCTTGTGTTAGTGATTTTAATTAAAAGTTAAATAAACAGGCAAAACGTATTGTAATTATAATTTTAAAATATCAAGTATTTTATTTTTTTAAAGTAGAGGGTATTTTATTTTAATTTAGATTCAATACAGTTAAAGTATTTGAAATAGAAAATCCTGAAAGTAATTTGTATTTTATTATTTATTTTAATTAATTTAAAATAGGCCCTTTATATTATCAAATTTCTTCTTCTTCTTTGATAGCTCTACAACCCTGGGTGGGCCCTGTCTTCCTGAACAACAGCTCTTCGGATGTCCCTGTCCTTATCCTTTTCCCTCCAGTTTGTAACTCTTAACCGCCTGAGGTCGTCCTTCACATCCTCCAACCACCTTCTTCTCGGCCTTCCCCTTCCTCTGACACCATAAATTCTTCCTTTGAGCATTTTTTGGGGGATTCTCTCATCTGCCATTCTAAGAACGTGCCCAAACTATTCTATCCGCCGTGATTTTATAAAGTTCACAATTTCAGTATGATTGAATAAATCATATAGTTCCTTATTGGTTCTAATCCTTCATGCTTGAGTTGTTTCATCATACAAGGGACCAAATATTTTTCTCAGGATCTTTTTCTCGAAGACCCTTAATGATTTTGTCATGGTGGCAGTAATCGTTTATGTTTCAGCCATAGACATATAAATAAGTATGTGTCTTATTAAGGTAGTGTATAGCCTTATTTTCATTTTTCTTGATATCAAGGATGATTTAAAGAGTTTTAAATTCGCGAAATATGCACGGTTAGCGGCCATTATCTTTCTGTGCACCTCAGTCATAATTCTGTTTTCATTATTTATTTCTGATCCTAGATAGGTAAAGGTATTGACGTTTTTGAAAAACGTGTCCTTCCATCATAAGGTTATAGGAATTTCTTGAATTTTCTGAAGCAATGGAAACATACTTCATTGTGTAACGCTAGGTTGAAGAGAGTGACGGACAGAGCATCTAAGGAGATGTAAGGCAAGGACCTTATACCGGTTGATACTGTAAATGTATTACTTACACTACCATTGGGAATAACTTTGGGATTGCTATTGCTTAGAGTCATCTGGATCAATCTTATTGAAAAGAACATGAATTGTAGTTTTGTACTCACAACACTTTTCTAATATTTGCCTCATCACAAAAATTTGGTTGACTGTTCCTTTTCGTTTATGGAACCAAAGGTTAATATTTAAGAATATTTTGTATGCTAACTGCAAGAGGGATATTCCTCTGTAATTTTTGCATTGCAGTTTATCTCCTTTTTTAAAGATGGAACCAATCAAACTAGTTCCCTAATCTTGAGGCATGCTTTCATTCATCCATATGTCCAAGACCAATTACTTTTGAACATGCATAATATCCAATTTCATGAGTCAGGAATGCAATTTTAACAACTATTTATGAGATTTCTTTTTAGTAATCTTTTGCAAATAAACCTTGATGTGTGGACAAGAATATTGAGAAAGTTCTGGTATCCTTCTTTCATATTTTTCCTCTGCGCCTACCCTACTGAAAAAAAAAAATGACGACTTTATTCCATCCTTCTAGTTTTTATTTTACCTTACAACATGTTCCAAACTTAATCTTTTCCAGTATATTTGTTTATTTAGGATGACTACCACAGGGTCTGAGCCTCAATGTGTCGTGTCAGTAGCATTTGTATAATTTATGTCACAATCTCCAAGATATTACACAAGTTAAATAATTTTATTTGCTGAAATATTATCAAAGAATAATTATTATTATTTTTTTTTTTACCAACAATCTAACAGTAGTTCACTTTTACCTGTTTATTCAACATTATATGCTCTTTTGCCTCTTTAAGACCCCGGATTTCTTACATAATTTTTAATGGTTTAACAATTTTGTTATCAAATATAACTATTTTAAAAACTTAACACTATCCAACAAAAAAAAATTATAAGTGAGAATTGTTATGGTAATGATCGGCCTTGTTATATAACTTTTAAAAACTTCTTCACTTTAGTGATATGTATTTTTCAAAAACTTCTCCAGTTTGGTGATTTATATTGTGCATTTAAAATTCAAAATGGATAACATTTTTTGTATTTGAGAAATTTGGATAAAAAATATTAATAATGAAGAGAAGTTGGTTGGGTTGTTCAGTCAAACAAATAAAAAAGTAAAAAATAGATGAAATATATTTATTTTTATTTATGCTGACATTTCGGCCCAAGTTTAATACCTTGGTCAGGGCTAAGAAAAGACAAGATCACATAAATATGAGAAACTAGTAGATGGTAAAAGTAATAATATGTTGGTAAAGGTATAGTCTAATAACATGCAGGTAGAGTAAACTTAACATTAATAAATATGTGGAAAAGCAAGTATATGAAATATAAATAAAGGAAGTATAAAATAATGGTAACAAAGTTAGGATTAGAAAGTAGTGGAAGCAAAGTTAGGATATATAAGATAACAGTAGCAAAATTAAAGACTAATGAAATAATGGAACATAGGAAGTTATAAAAAAAAAGGAAGGTAATAAAGTAGTGAAGTAGAGAATAATAAAATAATCAAATTAATGAACCAATGAAAAATTAAGTATAAAATAAGTCTGATATGTACAATTAAATTTGATTAACGTTTGATTTATAAAATAACGATGAGAGAGTTTGCAATTTATGAAAGAAATAATAAATATAAATAATTTTAACTCTGTTTCATTATTTTATGTATCAACCATTAACCTAATTTAATTTTATATATCAGAGTATTATTTTATATTTAATTTTTCATTGCATTGTTAATTTCATTAAATTGTTATTGTTATTTTATTATTGTCTACTTCTCCACTTCATTACATTTTTTTTTATAACTTCTTATGTTCCATTATTTTATTAGACTTTAACTTTGTTATCGTTATTATATACTTTCTTTATTTATATATCATATATTTGCCTTTCCACATATTTATTATTGTTAAGTTTACTCTACCTAAATGTTATTAGCCTAAACCTTTTACCTCTATATTATTACTTGTTTACCATCTGCTAGTTTCTCATATTTATGATATCTTGTCTTTTCTTAGCCCTGATGAAGGTCTGAAACTTGGGCCAAAAGGTCAGCAAAAATAAATATAATTTATTTATATTTACTTTGTTATTTGTTTGACTGAACACCACTACTAACTTCTCTTCAATATATCTATGACACTCTATCATTAATCCACTATCATGAAAATATAAATAAATGTTTGGTATGTTTAAGAGAAAATACAGTTAGAAAAAATTTATATTTTATATTTTCCTGCTTAAAATTTAAAATATCAAAAATTAATTTTTATTTTTATTTTGAAATATTGCTCAGGTCAAAAATAAAATAAAACTGGCTGAGTAAATTGAATTAATCTTATTTAATTATATTTTAAAACCTATATCCTTCTAATGATTATTTAATCCCTTGTTCCTAGCCTCACCTAATATTAAAAATGAAGTTGCTGGATTGGTAACAGCTATCGCTCAGCATGCTTCTTTGATTGAACCTTCTGGGAATACGCAACCTATTGTTCTTCTTGAAAATGATACCAGGTTTTTTTTTTTTTAAATAATTTCTTTATGTACTATGGCTTAATATCTGAATATTTCTTTCTTGATCGAGTCTAATCTTGGTTATCTATTTTCAGGCAGTGTTTAATTCACTGTGATGAAGGAATAACTACAGCTATCTTTAAGAAAATCCAAAATAATTAGAAAAAGGTGAATGTTTATTTATGTATTTACATGATTAGCTTATTGTTTTCACTTAACTAGGTAGTTACTTATACATTTTTATGAACGTATAAATAGTTAAGCTGTGTAAAATTATTTTTTGGCCAACTACTGACTATCTAACTTTATATTTATGGTAAAACAAACATACACCCCAATTGTTTAATTTTTGGATTTTTTAAAAATCAAAGTATGTAGTCAGGTATTTTCACCTGGCATACAATTATATTGAACTAGAGGAAACATAACAAACAAACAAAAATAAAAAAAAGTAGTAAGTACTTAGTAGTGTTGACTTAATCTGCAAAGGGCTTGATTCATTCACTCTAGAATGTGATACCACTTCTAAGACCACATTCATACTTAAAAGTCTAAGAAATTTAACATTGTAGTGCCCAGTGACTGATCATAGTTTTTTAGACAGTGTACATGACAAAAAAGGTTCAAGGTTGAGGAGATGACCACAGAGCAATTTCTGATATTTTCTTTGTTTTGTTTTTCTGTATTGAAGAAAAAAATCTGCTGTAGTACGCATGTCACACAATTTTTACTCTTAGCAGGAATAAATATTTTCATACAAAGAGAAGTGGAATTAAAAATTATAGACTGTTTGAAACATTACTTAAAACAATTAATTATCATATTTTTTTCATAGTCATCTAATATATTATATTTATTTTATTTTACACTAGCTATTTTTTTTTACAACTGCATATTTAAATTATTTATTTGATTATAATAAATAATTAAGTGCCACAAAATATTTTTAACCTGACTAGTCTTGTGGCAGAAGAGTGCCACTGATAAAAAAGGCTGCTACATTTATTTATATTTCATTGTGAGTATTTGTATTTGTTTAAGTACTGATATATATACAAATTAAAATTTTTATATCACTGTAATCTATAAAATTAAATATTAAATAATAGAAACGATAGCATTTATGAAAACCGGATATGTTTATATATATATAATATTTGCCAGAGTCTGTATTATATTAAAACATGCTACTTATAGAAGCTTATTCTAAACTCTCGGCCAAACCAGAGTGTGCCCTTTGATTTCTTCGGTTTTCTTTAACTATTCCCTATTTCTGCTGTGGTTAATTATCAAATTCTTTCATATTTTATATTTTCCCATTTTTTACATTACAGCTAATTGTGAAATGGTTAATTATTTCAAATTAAAAAATTATAGGTATTTTAGAGGAAGGAATATTGAAAATTAGCCATTTAAGCTTTGGTAGAAAACATTGATAAGAATAAAACCTAAATTGTATTGAAAACTGCTTTATTTTACACTGATATAATGAATTTAATCATAATCCTTAAAGTCGTTTTCGATAAAATTGTAAAATGTGTAAAATCAATTATATACCGGTTAGTCGATTTTGACAAAAAGTTATTGTAACATCCCACGTATACAAACCTTAAATATTCAATTTCATTTTCATATGACTTTCCATTTTTGAGCTAGACTGTTCACATACATATACTCATTCATACACACACCATTTTGTGGGATTTTCAGTTAATAATCTTACCAGATAACTTGGTTATCAGAAGACCTCAAAACGTGTATTTCCATTGAAAACTCAGATTTGAAATTTTTCACAATCACATACTTAACTTTCCTATATATTACATATATCGGTAAGTGAAAGTAAAAATCTGTAAATGGTGCTTGAGAAAAAATTAAGTGTTTACATACAGGTATAGTGATGACACCTGAAGTTTTTTGAAATTGTCTAATTCAAATACAACCTAAACAAGAAACCTAGCTCTAAATTTGCTGACTTCAGGTGTCCCAAGTGTGTGAGAACCCTCTCACGATAACAGTACATTGCCTTAAAAATGCAGATTTTTGTCTGTTAATGCAAAGAAAAAGAAATACTTGATACCGCCACTTTCTTTGATATCAAAAGATTTACATTGTTTTTAGGAAACTTTAAAACAATAGTCCAGAATGGGAAAAATAGTCAACATATTGATTAGTGATATAAAATAATTTTTCGCTTTACATTTAACAAATAAACAAATGTTTTTATTTGTTTTGGTTTCTTATTTAATGACAATATCCTGCTACCGACGAAAGATAAATAGTTATATATCTGACCAGATTGTCTTTTTTTAATATAAGTAGAGTGGTGATGTAGTAATTTTTATTTGTAGTAATAATTGAACTCAATCTAAAGAGTGATTAAACAAATGGGGGAAAACTAGAATGATCAAAATTGCAGTTTTCATACCCACTCTTCTCTAGGCTTGAATGATTTTTATTTTGCTCTCCAGTAAAATTATACAAATTGGACTTATCAATCTTTATCATATCACTACAGACATAACAATGTGAGAAAATTCCAATGATTTACTCATATCAAAGAGTTTTTATATTTCTTTAACCTTGAATCTTTGAACAACCATTAAATAATTGATTAAGGAGGAAAACTTGGCAGTTAAGTGTGATCCTGGCCCGACCCACTCCCTTCACAACCGTTGGTCTTAAAACTGTACCTTCCCTAAATAGTACTGAACCCAAGACTCTTCATGGATTGTAGTGGTACAGGATTTTTTATTTTTTTTCAACCTTGAACCTAAACAAACTTTGTTTTGAACTATTATGCATTCCTTCTATTATTATTAGAATGTTATAGAATCATTTTCATTGTTTTATTAATGTTTGCGTACTATTTTCCATTTATTCAATTATTAGGGTAACCTCTTCTTTATCAATCTGCTATTTGTGTGTGCCTGAAACTTTAAGGCTGTGTTAGAATAATTCTTTTGACAAATCATAAATTTAATGATTAATGCTCAAAAGACAGGTTTGACAGATGACATCCATGCCACCCAAGAACTTATTGAACATGGCATTAAACATTTTTGAACACCAATCGACTGTTGAAGGAATTACAATGGGAGTGAGAATCAGATGAAATTAGTCCATTTGCCCCAGAAGAAAATGAGTATGCCAATTAGAGAGTACATGTTGGTAAACTTTTTACGATAAGTGCTTGGCTTTTACCAATGCTGAAAAATAACTCATGATGCTGCTCATTCTCTTCCTATCCAATATTGCATAGCAAAGAGAGACCCTGTTTCAATTTAGTAGTTAATTAAAAAGTTTCTTATTGTTGATAAATTATATCAAAATTAGAACCGTTCATCAAATAAATTCAATTATTTTAATCACATTTGATCTTTTGTCTCAAATCTTTCCAGAATTTCATTGTGAATTTTCACTTTCAGTCAAAATCATTTTATGGTAAACTATCCTCTTGCACATTAAAAAAAAATTATAGATAGATTTATCTACTGTTTGCAAAATTATGAATTGATTATTTTTGGGTGATAGCTATTTCACGTTCTTATAATAAAGGAGCTTTCAAAATTTTAATCTCCGAAGTCATAAAATCTTATGTTCTTAAAATATAGTCCACAGACCCCTCCTCATAGCCAATCGCAGGTGAATATGAAACAATCATGACATTAATTTTTCACTTTTATTCAAATAAATCATTTAATAAGTATTCAAAATGGTCAAGACTTTTAGTAATTGTTGACCCTGTTTAGCTGAGAAGGCAATCTAGGGGAGAAAAAGAAAAAAATATTTGTTCATATTAAATTAGTTAATCTATTTTTATTCATTTTATGTTTTTTATGCTGCATTGCAATAAAATTGTTAACTTATGTAAGTGCACAAGATCTTTTATTAAAGTAAACATTGATACATTTTTACCTATAATTATTCATTTGTTATAGATAGATAGATAGATAGATAGAAGAATCAACTTTATTCTGGGACTACGTCCCTTGAGAATAACAATATTGTACATAAAATTAACATTACATCTGGCCAAAATGTATATTACAATAAACAAAAACAAACAAACAAACAAAAAAAAACAACTAAAAAATAAGGGATAAAAGAAGTATTTACATAACTGTACAGATTTAGGAAGCCATAATATGAGAAATAAGGTCCTAATACTGCAAAATAGATGCTATACACAATACGCTATGAAATTATAAATGAGCGACAAATAATAATAAAGATGTTATAGTAATAGTAGTATGTTCGAAGAAGAAGAAGTTGTTTTTTATATAATAGTATCTATTAGATTGAGTCTGAAATAAAGTCTCTAGAATAAAGTAAAATGTTTTGGGTTCGCAAAAAAAACAAAAAACAAATATTCAAGAGAGGGTCTATGGAATTTAAGAATCCTTGTTCTAGATGATATTTGATCAATATATTTAAATATTTATTCAAATTTATAAAATATTGTTCCTTCAATATTTTATTTAAATAATTGTTTTTTAGTTTTTAGGTGAGTTTGATCTTTATTGATTCCATTGCAATTGTAACAGTTTATGTTTAAGTATTTGAGAATTTGTTTTAGTCATTTCAGTAACATTTTTATGTTTAGATAATATTTATCTGGTTATCTTTTTATAAGTTTGTTGTATAAATATTGATATTTATTTATTTTCCAAAAGAATTTAATCAGTGTTATTTTTTTCAGTATTTTATTTTTATCTATATTTTTCTTATTTGCAGGATTGAATTATGCAGTAATTTATTCATTAAACAAATTCTTCCTTTGAAAATATATGATGTTTAATTAACATTTGTAATTCATTTCTTATCATTATATAATTTCAGTTATATTTATTTTTTCTTATTTTCACAATATGTATCACCTTATTTATTTTAGATGCAGTTATTTCTAAATAATTATTATTTCCTGTGTATATCCCATATATGGTTTATATGTACACACACACATATAAACTCTAAACATATAAACTATTATATGCTATAAAGCTTTGTATATTTTATGTTTAATTTAAGCATCTTGTATACCTTTATAAAGCAATATATATTTTTAAAATTATAAATCATGTTAAATATGAAATTACATTAAAAATTGTAAAGGCTATCTGTGATTTGATAAATAAAAATAATATTTTCATCATGATATACTAGTTACATTTTTCTTTAAACACCTCTAACTGAAAATAAAAGTTTTCAATCATAAGTAGCAAAAAAAAAGAAGAATAAGAATTAGTTTACTCTTAAGGCTAATGTAATTTCTTGTACCGAGGAAACATGTGCCAGTAGATTCCAAAAGTTTTACTATAAGTATAGTAAACGTATAGTTAAAATTTGAGAATCTTTTTTTGAGATGAATATTGTATTATAGAGGGGGGAAGGTCTAAATTCAATTTTATAAAGTTGGGTCGGGAGGAGGAAGGGGGGTTGTTTTTAAAATTTTTATGCTGGGGCTTATGGAAGTCAAGGTTTCACAATAGTTATAATAAAAACATTGTTATCGGTGCCAAACCATCCATCCATTTTAGTTATTTGCTATCCTGTTATTTTATTATCCATCAGTTATTTATTAATCAACTTAATTTAAAAATTAAGTAAAATATTGATTTAAAATTGAAAATCTATTTGTCAAATACATTTTTTACTTCCTTGACTGACAATGATGCTCAATACTTTATTATTTGGCTATTTGTTTAGGTCCATTAAAATTTGTTAAGTGTTTAATTTTCATTTATGATGAAGCCAGGAGTTTGTGCAGTCGATTGAAATAATCAAAAAGAGTTGTAGTCTCTCCACTTCTTTAAACTCTGTTGAGTTTATCGTTGGCAAAATAATATTGGGCATTGAGTCACCTACATTCCTGTAAAATTAGAACTTGATCTGAATATTGTGGCGAGCGGATTTTTCCCCTCGATTTCCTATTAATTCGTTTGGTTAATCCTAAAAATGACAACATTTGTGAGACTCGGGATGTTAAATGACACCTTGAACGGGAAGATCGAACAAAATTGAAAAATGAGTGTGTTTTACCCGTTTTATGCCACAACGCGTTACAGATGTTCGGTATTCCGAATTTTTCCCGTTGAGTTGTGATAATTGTTTCCATCAGTTGAGTAGTACAACTTTTAAATGTGTTTCGCGATAGAGTAGGTTGGGATGGGAATCGAAGTAAGTAACTGCGTAACCGGGATCTCTAGACAAATCACTCAAGAATTCATAACTTTGGTTCTATTCAATATTTTATTTTCATTTAAATCATATATTTTAAGTTAAGCAAACATAAATATAATCTCAAAATTTCAGAAGTCTACCATTAGCCATTGCCGAGCTTACCCCCTGACAAAATTTCGTTGGACAATGCGGACATCCAGACAGACAAAAAAATTTTTGAAAAGTGGATTTAGTTTCTGTAATGTATAAAACGGAAAGATATCATGAACCGCGTTGATTCTATTCAATGTACAGACAAACCTTTTTTTATTTATGTAGATGTTCTTTTATAAACATATGTTTATTATTAACATTTATTATCGACATTAATCGAGATCTTTAGAAAAATTACTGAATAACTCATAACTTCGGTTCTACTCAATATCTTGTTTTTATTTAAAGCCTATGTTTTAAGTCATGCAAACCTTAATATAATGTCAAATTTATAAAATTGTACAATAAGCCGTTGCTGAGCTTACTCCTGACAAAATTTCGTTTCAATCCAGACATACAGACAGACAAACATTTTTTAAAAGTGGATTTGGTGTCTGCTATGTATGAAACGGAAATATATCATAAAACGGGTTGATTCTATTCAATGTACAGACAAAATCTTTATTTCATTTATATAGATAACAACAAACTGGACAAAACTATACATACTATAAAGTTATTGCATTAATTTTTGTGTTGGCTTTACAGGCCTGGTAATATTTGGTAGCTTGAAACAGCCTTCTCAACTTCTGCCTATACTAGCCTGGACTACTGCTTTCCTTCTTGTTCCATTTAGCTCTTTCGCTTCTTTGCTGATTCTGTCTGTTGTTGGGCTTGTAAGTGGTCAAGTGGCCGACTACCATGGTATGCTTTGTCTATCATGGATGAACAGTCTAGCCTGTTCGGTCTTAAATTATGAAACTCAACCGTCGAAAAGTGAAAAAAAAACTTTATTGAGAAAACAAATCAAACAATGAACATTATGACATGCTAAGTACTACTGATACAGATCTCTTACTTACTGTCTAGCCTAGGATTTTATGGGGGTATATATAGGTAGAGGAGAGGGAGGCTGCTCAGAATGTCAAGTCAGCATAGTTCGTTTCCATAACTATTCCCCCCTTAAAAAGTGAGGTCCTCCGAACTAGGATGCTTGTTTTTCGGTAAGGTAGGAATGCCACGCTCTAGACCTGGCGTCGCAAAAGGATGATAGCTCGATGGGATTGCTGATAGGTGGGTGATCAGGAGTTACAATGTTTGTTAGAGGTGTGGGGTTGTTAGTCTTATTTTTAAAAATGTTTTTAAATTTATAATAGTAAAATAATATATGGTGAATAAACAGATATATACATATTATCAAAGTAAGATATAACATAATGTCAGAATGAGTAATTACAGAATAATCTTCTAAAGGTTCTATATTTAGAGTTCCTAAGTCTAATTTATTTACATCATCGTAGCTATAATTAGTAAAAATTACATTATCAATATTATGCATAGATATTATGGGTATATTTACATGTTCTTCGTATCGAATAACTATAGATTTATTTACAAATATTTCATTTCTGTCAAGGCTTATTAAACCAGTGATTGGTAAATGATATAACATGGTTTCTGTTATGTTAGTTTCAATAGTAGATAAATTAAAAGTGAGATATTGATTAAGGCTAGGTATAAGTTTAATAAATGGTTTTTGTGAAATTCCTATTATTTTACAATGTTCTAATTTTTGGTTGTTACTTAATTCTAATATACACTTATCTTCTACTAAACTAAGACTTTTGTAATTACAATAAAAGTTAGAATTATATTTTAAACATTTTCCCTTATAAAACTGGTTATTATTTCTTATAACTAAAGTATTTTCTACTGGAATAGTTACAATATTTTCCTTATAGACAATGGGATATGACAGTATGTAATATGTAGTCGAAGGGGCAACCCTTAGTGGTAATTTAATAAAGAAATAAATCATTCCCGAATCGGACATTGAACAAATTGCTTTACTTAATAACCGGAAAGGCAGTGGATCAGCTGATGCGAAAGGACGTGTTTCTACATCGTCTCTCAGAATTTGCTTATTTTGCAGTGAAATCTTTGAGATTATTTATTCAAAACAAGTCAAGAATACATAACAACAATTGATATTTATTGTTTGTTATAAATTATAGGGTTATTTTTATTTTATTTTTTTTTTTTTTCATTTTTTTTTTCCCTTATATGCGATATCACAATCAGGCCATGTCTAGTATAGCTTCTATCAAGAGAATTCGGCCGTTAGGCTCAACACCTTGTTCTTCGCCTGTCAAACAAAAGCCTCGTCAATGTCGTCAAACACCTGCAGTAACGCCTATTAGCTCCAGAGAAAATGAAACCCAGCCAGGAACATCATCAAAACCAACAATTGAAGAACTTCAGCATCAACCAGGTACATCTTCACAAGAGATAACCGAACAATCTCCGTTTTTCACCCCTAACCCCTATCAGGTGCTTCAGAATGATAAAGAAGTGATGGAATCCGCTTCAATACCAAGAGATCCCCGACCTCCACCCATATTCGTTAAAAACATAAACAATTTTCAGTTACTATGCTCACAACTGAACAAAATAACAGGCTCTGGAAGCTATTCATGTCTAAGCAGAACAAAGGACACGAAGATATCACCAGATACAGCTGAAACCTACAGAAAAATTGTGAAGTATCTAACAGAAACCAACGCGGATTTTCATACTTACCAATTACGGCAAGATCGAGCTTTGAGGGTAGTCATAAGAAATCTACACCCCTCAACACCAACCGAAGCAATAGAAGAAGAATTGAAAACTTCAGGTTTCATAGTGCGCCAGATTACAAATGTACAGAAGGAGAGTAAAGAACAGCCAGGAGTAAAAGTTCCTCTACCCTTATTTTTCGTAGATTTGGAGCCAAATCAAGGGATCGAAAAAATATACGAAATAAGAAGAATATACTACACAAGTGTTATAGTAGAGAAGCCATATCCTAAGAGGGAAATCGTACAGTGTCACAATTGCCAGGCATATGGCCATACCAGGACTTACTGCCATCATCTGCCGCGCTGTGTGAAATGTGGAGAGCAGCACAAATCCGGGGAGTGCACAAAACCGAAACGGGATCCTGCAGTTTGTGCATTGTGCCTTGAAGGACATCCAGCGAACTACAAAGGCTGTCAGATCTACAAGAATATTAAATCAAGATATCAAAAATCCCGGACCCAAGAAGAAGAAGAGGCATCAAGAAGAGAACCTAACGCATCAAGAAGAGGACCTTCAACGCACCCAACGGTGTCTTTTGCACACTTATTAGGAGGTAAGAATGATGTTACTTATTGTGAGACCCTGCCGCAACAACAACACATACCTCAAAATTCTCAAACCCACCCTCAACATCCTAATCAAACTTCACCTAATCAACAGTTTTATCAACACCAAATTCCCCGCATTCCTCCTCCCTCAAATACCACAGATCTCACCAGTTTACTTACATCTTTCCTCTCCGAATTCAGATCCCTTGTTACTCCTTTGATATCTCTTCTCACCAATCT